AAATTGGGAAAAGAGGCTTCATGGCTCTTAAAGTGGATCTCGAAAAGGCTTTTCATAGACTTTCTTAGGATTTCATAGAAGATACTCTTCAAGCTATTGGGATAAACACACACTTTAGGAAGATTATTATGGTAACTGTATCTTTGGCTCGGATGAAAGTCCTCTAGAATGGTGAACCTTCGCATGAATTCAAACCTACAAGAGACAGGGGAACCCTCTTTCTACCTATCTTTTTGTGCTCTGCAATGAGCGTCTAAGTCACTGCATTTACAGTAATATCAATAAAAGAGATTGGAAGCCCATTAATTTAATGACTAACAGGCCTTCTATTTTACATTTATTCTTTGCTGGTGATTTATTACTTTTTGCAGATGCTTCTCTCACTCAAGCTGGGATTATTCGAAATTGTCTAATTGATTTTTGCAAGGCTTAGGGATAAAAAATCAATAATGATAAATCTAAACTCCTTTGTTCCAAAATTGTCAACATCAATAAAGCCTTACAACTCAACAACGATTTGGGAATTCCTCTTCTTGGAAATCTTAGAAAATATCTTAGGATCCCCATTATTCATGAAAAAGCTTCTAAGCTAACTTTTACTCCTCTTATTGAAAAAATAAGTTCTAGATCTTCATAGAAAAGCCATTATCTCAACATTGCTGAAAAATTTATCCTTATTAAGTCTATTCTTTCCTTTATTTCAAGTTATATTATACAGACTATGCTCCTCCTTGATAATGTCCTTTCAAAAATTAATAAAAACTCTTGCAACTTCCTTTGGGACTCCTCTGATGGAACTAAAAAACCACATTTTCTTTCTTGGGATAAGATTACCAAAGATAAAACAAGGAGGCCTTGGAATCAAGAAGATCTAATCGCAAAATATTGCTTTTATTATGAAACTTTGCTGGGGTCTTATTACTAAAAACAATAGTCTTTGGGTTCGGGTTCTTCATGATAAATATAAATGCAATAAACCCACTATCGTTATGGTTAACAAACCTACTTCCTCCTCTTTTATGTGGACTAGTATTTATAGAGTTTGGGATGATTTTATAACTTAGCTAGAGAGTTGGCAAGGGAGATAAAATATTTTTCTAGTATGATAAATGGTCTCCTCTACCTAAGCCACTTGTTACTTATACTTATCCTAAAGCTGACGCTATTCTTTATGCCAGAGTCTTTGAATTTTGCACAACCTCAAGCGGTTGGCATATTGATAAATTAAATCGTTACCTTCACCCTGGCATGGTTAGGTCCATTTTACTTGTCCAACCTCTATATCCCTAAGGTGATAATGATATTTTTGTTTAGAGACCTTCAGTGGATGGAAACTTCTCTATTAAATTTGCCTATAAAGCCATTGAGAACCAAGATGGGAATTCCAACCCTAAAGTTTGGAATACTATATAGAAATGGCCCACCTATGAAAAGATTAAATTCTTTCTCTAGAAAGCTATGTGGAATCGCCTGCACCTTAATTGTGATCTTGTCACAAGAAGATGTCCCTTTGGTTGCGACTCTCCTGACAATTCCATCCACATCTTACGCAATTGCATAAAAGGAAGTATGGAGAAATCTTGTAAAACATTTAAAACTTTAACACTTTCTTTTCTCTTCCTTGCAGGATTGGATTCTCTAGAATGCAAATAATAATGTTAGAAGTCTCAATACTAGAAGAACCCTTTAGAAGAAACTTTTTGCTCATATCTGTTGGAATATTTGTAAAGAGCGTTGCAAGTTGATTTATTTTTAAGACCATGTACCTGATAACAATATCATTTTCACCTGCACCCAAGGCATTATCAATGACACTCCTTTAATCTCATCTTAGACATATGCAGATAAATCAAGACAGATCTCTCGCTAGATGGACGCCGCCAAAACCTGGCTAGGTCAGATTAGATACAAATGGTTCCATCCTCAACAATAGAGCTGCTTTTTGTGGTGGACTCATTTATGATGACCAAGGTAATTGGATAAAAGAGTTTACTAAAAATCTTGTTTATCACCCTAGCACAGTCATAGAACTTCTTAGTATCCTTAAAGGTCTTATTTTTTTGCTAGAAAAGTAATTTCAAGCAAGTTAATGTTCACTCCAATTCATTAGAAGCTCTAGCACTTATCCGATCTAAACACAATCCGAATCATCCTCTCAATGCCACAATAGAAGATATTAAATGCCTTGTCATAAAGGATTAGGTTATCACCTTCAACCATACGTTTAGAGAATCTAATAATTGTGCAGATTAGCTTGCTTGACATGCCACAGACAATAATATTGATACTTTAATTTTTGATGCTTCTCCCCCAGGATATCGTCCTTTTATGGGACTTGACTTGACTTAATTCTTTTTTATGCAAGGCTTGTTGTGGCCTTATAATCTAAAATATATATATATATATAACCATGTCAAGTTTATAAATTTCTTTGTAAGTTGTTTTACCTTTTTCATTTTCTGGTGTGACCTAAGCATAAAATTCACACCTCCTTATTGCATATAGTGCATAAATCTTGCCAAAATTCTTGTCTACATTTGATATTTGGATGGATGCTCTATGATTGCAGAAGTAGGTCATATTTTGATATCTTAACTCTTGCTTTATGCTAATTTGACCCTCACTCGAAGAAGCTATAAAGTCTACAAACGAAACTATAAATCAACAACAATTGATAATCAAATACATTTACAAGGTATCGAATATTAAACTAACAACTAAAGTTATCAATTATGAACCCTGTACTTATTTATGATTGGACGCTGATTTAACCAATGTTTTAATATTCAAACAAAAACAAAGTGTAATTTTCTCAGCATTCACAAACCATCATTACTCTGTCTTGCTGGAACATCCTCAAATTCCTTTAATCTATATTTAAAGGACAACATCAAGCCTTTAGGTGCATAGGAAGATAATCGAGACTCAAATATCTAAATAATGTAACTCTAATGGTTCAAAACGACAGTTACTTCTATATGCTTTTACCTTTTTTACTTTGGAAGTTTGTTTAACAGATACAAATGCATTGAAAGAGAACACATTGCTTTATCTTGACATGATAAGTGCATGATTCAATGAATCATTTATTTGTTAAGTTCAAATGATTGTTTACCCTCACAAGTCTCTTGCTTTTGAAATATAACCTAAAAAAGAATAGAATGTATATATAAGTATCGGCGTTGACTCATTTGAAGTTGCTTTTGCTGATTTTCACTCATATGCCAGGACAACAATGCAAAGGACATGTGCTGATGAAAAAAAAAAAAAGAATGTGGGCACAATTGAAACATGAAATTCAACTGCAAATCAATTGTAGAGCATCGAAACAATCATGCACTTATTGAACAACAACAAATCTATAGTGGGAAGAATCATAGCATGGTAGAAGAAAAATACTGCTTAAGAAAAAAATAGGGAAAAGGGGGGAAAATTGTTAAAAGTTGCAAAAAAGAGAAGACGAAAAAGAAAAATGAGGAAGGAATACAATAGAGAAAGATTTCATGCCCCGTTGCACAATTTGAGATCTCGACTTTATGGAAGAGCGGTTTGCATTAAATATAAGACAACATGAGATAGTCTACGCCGGTTTAAAGAAGACAATGAAATGTGGTTTTTGACTGTTTTAAAAATAATAATTTTTAAATTTAAAATTATAAATAAGTTAATGGAAAGTTAAAATAATGGATAAATATTTGAAGGTGAAGTTATTTTTTATTTTTTATTTTTTAAGAGAAATCATAATCTTTGATCTTTATAATTTTATTGAGTTTTACTTTTACTCCTTATAGATTTTTAGAGTTTTTAGTTTTCATAGAGACTAAAAACATTAAAAAAACTAAAATTATAGGGGACTTAAAAAAATCATCAATTAATCTTTCTGAAATTGTAGGAATGGAAAACACTAAAAAAAATTATAAAGATTAAAAACAAAACCTGATAAAACTTTGAGAGCACCAACGATTGTGTTTTCTTCTTTTTTTTTAAATAAGAATTGACATGTGTCATCAGAATTTGATTTTATGGAAGAGTAATTTTGCATTAAATTAAACATATAAGAAAATGAGCAGTGATTTTTGACTGTTTAAGAAAAAAGTGGGAGGTGGTTTTTCAATGTTTTAAAAATAATTGGTTTTAAAGTTGAAATTTGACATTATAAAGTATAAATAAATGGAAAGTTGAAATAATCGAAACAGTTGGATATATGGTATTTTTTTATTTAAAAAATAAAAATAACATATGTTATTGGGAGACAACCTATGGTGCTACTTATATATATATATATAAGATATGCATTAGAATTTTGAATTTCATTTATTTTTTAAATTAAAATTATGAAATTATGAATAAGTTAATGCAAAGTTAAGATAATGGAAAGATATTAGGGAGTAAGGTAGTTTTATTTATTTTTAAAAATTAAAAAATAAAAAATAAATAAAGAAAAATATAATTAGAAACACATGTTATTGTAAGTTATGTTTGCAGTACATATTTTTTTATTAACTTTAAATAAAAAATTAAAAATTATAAATAAATAAGTTAATGAGAAGTTAAGATAATATAAAAATATTTGAAAGTGAGGTAATTTTATTTATTTTTAAAAATTAAAAATAAAACAAAATCAAGGACATATAATGTTATTAGATGCTGCTTACTTACGGTACATGCTTTTTTTATTATTTTTAAATTAAAAATTTTAAAATATAAATAAATAAGTTATTGCGAGGTTGCAATATTTTTCTTATTATTTTTAAATTAAAATTTTGAAATTTTGATGAATAAGTAGGTGGAAAGTTGAAATAATGGAAAAATATTTAAGAGTAAGATAATTTTATTTATTTAAAAAAATTAAAAATTTAAAAATGCATAAAGTCAAATAAAATCAGGACACTCAGTTTTATTATGAGGTGTTGCTTGAGATTCTGCTATTATGCATTCACATACATACATACGTATATATACATATTTAAACCCCCCCCCCCCCAAAAGAAAAAACCAATCGCATGCGCGAACTGCATTTAACGCGGTTTTGGGGTCCGGATTTGAGAGAGGGGACCGTGAGAAAGCGGATTGTGACTTCAAGCTCTTACTTCATTGAATCTCAACTCTGTAAATGGATCTCTTTTCCCTGTTTTTGGTTTCATCTCTGCAAGCACTGGTAATGCTCTATATTCCAAACCCAAGTTTTCTTCTAAAAAAAAAAAGTGAATACTTTTTTCTTTAACTTAAGACAATTTCTTCTGGAGTTTTTATCTGAATCTGAACTTCAGAACCTATATTTAAAATGGGTTTTTGATTGAGAATGCTAGAGGGAAACCATGGCTTTTCATCCTTTTCCATTTCTATGTACTTGGGAGGGCATAGTGATGTGTGACAGATTGTAGATGAGATTGTGGATTTTGAATATTATAGTTTTGATGGTCATGTTCGGACATTTTCTTCTGCTATTGCAGATGAAGGGTGGGTTTTAAACCGACTATGGTGGTTTGATCATCTTCTATTAGTCAACTCTCGAGGTAATCCCATCCTTTCTTCTGGCCTTTCAGAATAGGGTCTACTGAATTGAGCGTTTTGGATTGTTGATGTATAAGAACGAAAATGAAAAGGAAGTCGTTATCTTTTATTTGCTGTGATTAGATGGTGAGAGCCTTGTAATAATCGCTTATTGGATATAATTAATTTCATCCAATGACGCAGCCTTTTGTAAAACTAGTTAGGAATTTAAACGTCACAGTTCAAAGGATAAAGAATATAGGACAGTATTTTGACCCTTGTTTGGTCTGTATCTGGCATGATCATCACTGGCTAATGTTATTTTTGAGTTTGTCCTGGTCTTCACCATAGTAAGTAATTGCCAATGTTAGATTGCAGTTATCTTGTTTTCTCTTCTATATGAGCTAATAAAGCTTATGTTTTATTTGGTGTTTTCTACTCTACTGAGCAATTTGGTGGAAAAGATGAAGAACAATAACAATAACAAAAACAATGAAAGTAACACTAGAAATGGTGCTGTTGAACTGAAACTCTCCTTTTTTGTGGCAGTCATATGTGCGCATTTGTAGTATATAGTGCATTGGAAGATTCAGAAAAGAGAAATATACATTTTATTTATTGGTATCTACACCTACTGTTAAAATGTCGTTCCGGAGTATAGTCCGTGATGTGAGAGATAGCTTAGGGAGCTTATCTAGACGGAGCTTTGATGTGCGGCTGACTGGCCATCACAGAGGAAAATCTCACGGTGCTATACATGATCAGCCAGAAGTAATTGAAAATGGTTGCTGGGCTAGCTTGCCCCCAGAATTGTTATATGATATCATTAGAAGGCTAGAAGAGAGTGAAAGTACATGGCCTGCTCGAAAGCATGTTGTTGCATGTAGTGCAGTATGCCGGTCGTGGAGGAATATGTGCAAAGAAATTGTCAAGAGCCCAGAGACTAGTGGCAAGCTTACTTTCCTCGTGTCCTTGAAACAGGTTAGCACTGTTTTTGTAACTTATTTGCTGCATTTATGTGGATATCTTAGGTTTTTTTTTTTTTTTTTTATGTGGCCTATTGAAGAGTCCTAATTCCATGCTATTATGACATTTTCAGCCAGGATCACGAGATGGAACCATTCAGTGTTTTATCAAGAGAGATAAATCAAATTTAACATACCACCTTTTCCTTTGTCTCAACCCTGGTAAGCTTTCTTTTTCACACTTTTTATTTATTTGTCGCAATGATATGCAAATTTAACAACATTTATGGCTAAAAAGAACACTTTTGAAAGTTGTTGATCGAGACCTCTTAGTTAACAAAATTCCTAACAGCTTGGTAAGTGATAGAGTACAATAACATCGTACAATTCATGTAGCCAACTCAATCTAATGGAATAAGGCTTTTTATTGTTGTGTTGATATGCAAATTTACACCTCTTAGTTCCTTAATGGTGGATGTTTGGATGTATGGGATTTGGATTTCAACCAAATCCTCCATTTGGATACATATTTTGGATTTGGATTTGAATATGAACCAAATCTAAATCCATGTTTTATTGTATTTTGTAATTTCAAATCTCTCTATTTCCTAGTTATTTTAAATTTTATCTACTCCAACCCTCTCATCTTCTTTACATTTTCACTATCGGTGTCTTTATTAGTCTCATCATTCCTCTCATTTCTTGTTCTCATGTCTCACTAATTGAAAAATAATGATAAACTTGTTACTTCCAATATTCTGTTTCTGCTTGAAATCTTAGCTTATCTCTTTTACCTTTAAAATCTTTTATACTATCCAAACAAGAGATTTTAAATACATGGATTTTAAATGTAAGATTTCAAATTTAAGATTTTAAATCTAAAATTTAAATTCAAGTCCATCATTCCAAACCTACTAACGATATATTCTTGGGCTGCATGTGTTGTGTTTAATTTTGTAAGAATGCATGACTTTAGATGTCAAAATTTGGTTGCTGATGTAATTGCAGCAATTAGAGCAGTGTTGAATGAAATAAGAGATTGAGAACACATGTAACTGAGTTGTGAAAACGGAGTTCACTAGCCTTTATTGGTATTTGATGATGGCTGGCATGAAAATCAGATAATTAAGTATATTTGATTTTGGTTAGCTTATTTCCCTATATTGTGCCTTGAAGTAATAGCTCAAGTTTCTGAATGTATATCTTGGGTTATAAGTCAAATTGCTTGGGTTGGTGCTATCATGTTTTCAACTAAGGTCATATTGGATTTGTGAAGTTTATCCTTTAGATCTTCCAGCTGCTGTTCCAAATGATCACAATTGTATTTTATAATTGCTGGCCTGCAGAATTCTACATGATATTTGCATTAGGTATGTGTGAAATTTGAAGATATCAAAGAGTTAGAATTGTGTAGATTTCTGTTGAGTTTATAAGTAAATTTGCCGCTTTTAAATTGTTTGGATGATCTCTGAAGTATCTTCATACCATTTCTAACTCTTATGAATTGCTGTTTGGGGAATGATTCAACCTGGCTTCACACATTCTAGTGAAAAGGAATTGAACAAGAGTTTGATAATTAATACTATGTCGAGTTCAATACATTAAATCAACTTTTTCTTCTTCTGACTTTTCTTTTTGGTTGTTCAATCTTTCTTTATTTTATTCTTACAGCTTTGTTAGCTGAAAATGGAAAATTCCTCCTTTCTGCCAAGAGGATTAGAAGAACAACATACACAGAGTATGTTATTTCCATGGATGCCGGCAATATCTCTAGATCAAGTAGCTCTTACATTGGAAAGCTAAGGTGAGTTAATTGATTGCTTACTTTCAACCCTAAACACTCACGTTATCTGTTTTTATAAAATCCTCTGAACTTACAACATGTGGGAAATTTTTCTTTGAAAAGTAGAATCAGCGGAATTCCCCATTTCAATGCATGTAGATTTGAGCTTTATTCTATATTTCACATAAAATTTAAGTTTGTGACAATCTAATATAATATAAGCATCCATTTTCCAGAAACAGAAAAAAAAAAAAATTAAACAATAGCAACCGTGATCACCAATTTATGGCAGTTATGAAACTAGATAAATAAATGGGTAAAAGGGCAATTTTTTCCTTAAACTATAACTCTAGGAGCATTTGAGACTTGAAATTGTTTTTTGGTGCAATTTTGTCCCTTGACATTTAAAAGCATCACAATGTGCCCCCTCCCGTTAATTACTACATGTGAGGTCCACATTGTGTCTTTCTTCAGGGACAAAGTTGCACCAAAAAAAAAAAAAGTTTTAAGATCCTAAATGCTTCCGGCCCTATAGTTTAAGGGCAAAATTTCCCTTTTACGCTAAATAAATTTGTTCTTTTAGACAGACCTGCTTGAAAGTATGATCTTCTGTGATTTAATTTCTATTGAGAAAGATAACAATTTTTTATATCTATTTCATTGCTTATTTGCCTAGTTCAGTTTTTTTAATTCATTCATTGTTTTTTTTTTTTCCATCCGTTCTTCTCTTTTAGATTGAGATTTTCCTATTGAATGTCTTTCACCAGATCAAACTTTCTGGGTACCAAATTTATAATATATGATACACAGCCTCCATACAATTCCACCCATATCCCGCCTTCGGGGAGGACAAGCCGAAGGTTTTATTCAAAAAAGGTTTCACTAAAGGTCCCATCTGGAAGTTGCAACATAGCTCAAGTAACATATGAATTGAATGTGCTTGGAACACGTGGCCCAAGGAAGATGCACTGTGTTATGCATTCGATAACAGCATCAGCGCTCAATGCTGGTGGAACGGTCCCTGGCCAACCTGAGGTTCTTCCTCACCCCATGGAGGACTCATTCCGGAGCATCTCCTTTTCAAAATTTTTAGATCACTCTATTGAGTTCAGCAGCTCAAGATTCTCCGAGTTTGGGGAAGGCTGCAATGAGGACGATGATGGCAAGATGAGGCCATTGGTTCTGAAAAACAAACCTCCAAGATGGCATGAACAATTGCAATGTTGGTGCCTTAACTTCCGTAGCCGAGTAACAGTTGCATCAGTTAAAAACTTTCAGTTGATTGCTGCTACCCAGCCGGCAGCCGGTGATCCTACCCCATCTCAGCCGGCGCTCTCCGGGCAAGATAAGATAATTCTGCAGTTTGGTAAAGTTGGGAAAGACATGTTCACCATGGATTATCGGTATCCTCTATCAGCTTTCCAGGCTTTTGCGATATGCTTGAGCAGCTTTGACACCAAATTGGCTTGTGAATAAATATAATCACAAAACAAAAAGGGCAGTAAGACAGTGAAGATCAACAATGAGTAACGAGTATGACAGTATCTTTACCCTTTTTGAATTTTTTTTTTTCCATCCATTTCATTGTTACCATGGTAATCAGAAATAGGCAAATTGCTCACGTTACCTAGTTGCTGTATGACTCAGATGCATCAGACCTGAGATATGAAAGGGTTTGGAGCCTCTTCACCTCAAAAATGTTTTATTTATTGATTCAGCCATGATATCCTCTTCCAACAAATACATCAATGGATTTCAACTGATCTTGGCTTTGTTTGATAAAATAGGGAATGAAATGAAATAGAAAGACAGGATATAATAAAAGTACTTTTTGTGAGAAAAAAATGTTATGTGCTTTTGGATATAAGTTGGCTACCATTAAGTAATGATAGTAAGGCTGGAATAAGTAGCCACTTGTACTTCTCTGTACTGCTTCTGGATCTAAGTATAGATCTGCACTATCAGATTTTGTAATAAATGGTTTAGATTTAATATTTTGTTAAAAAAAATCTATTGTTAAAATTATTGTAAAATTGACAGTTCAGGTTTACAATAAAAGTGAAGGGGATGAAAAATAAGTATCTACTTGTGCTTCTGTCTTTGTAACATATATTTTAGATTAAATATTTTATAAAAAATTTTTAAAATGGGAAAACAATGTTTCTATCTGATTTGCTTATTGTAAACAGGTTTGTGTCAAATGTAATAGAGATAAACCTGACTCTTGTGATGTGGAGCTTCCATGTCAAACTTGATAAAATGATTCAAGTATTGCATGCTATGATAATTTGTGTTAAATTAATCATTGAAATTTTCGAAATGAAATACTTCTAACTATGGTATTTAAGTTTAATAACCAAGTAGGTTAGAGATTTAAACCCCCTCCATTCTATATGATAAAATCATGCGTTATTCCTTCATCAGTCTAGACTAATGTAAAGTATTGTGTGAAATTGTTGTTACTATCGATGTTTTCATAGATACCATGAAAATACTTTTAACATTTGTATTTAATCATAATTGCATAGTTTAGGACTCAAACTTGAGACCCTTGATTAAAGTAATTTCTTTGTTTGTTTTTTTTTTTTTTGTAACAAAGTAATTTTTAATCACATAATGTTGGGCTAATGAGTTGATATTTAAAATATCATAATACTTGGATCACCAATATTATAAATTTGAATTTGAAAGTAAGTTAAATCCTCTTTATAAAAAATTTTATTGATAAAACGAATTTTAAAATTGCAATAGTTTATTTTAATTTGATTTTTTATTTTTACAAAATTTTCAAAAGAAATCAAACTTAAACTGAAGAGTCTTCCAAAAACCGTTTTTAAATAAAAAATTAAATATTGTAAGTTTGAATTGTTTAAAACTTTGTCAGATTTTGTCTCGTCTCATTTATGTTGTTTTGCATGTAAATTTTTACGTCATTTTTCATATTATCTAAATACTTTCTCACCTTAAAGCATATCTACTAAACTATAGTTAAATCAAATAAATGAAACTCATAAACCTAAAACAAGATAAAACGAATCTTGTAATTATGGAAAAAAAAAATGTATTAGCAGAGATACCTCATTTAAGTTTGGTCTTTTTTTTTTGGGGGGGGGGTGTTATAAGCTGAGAATGTTTAAATTTGAATTAATTTGTATTACCAAGATAGTTATAACAAGCCACCCCCAAGCAAGAGATAAAGAATTGAAAACAGACAATTGTGGATGTCACAAGACTGTATCTCAGAAGGAAATGACATTTTTATATTTTATTTATTCACACTTTCCACTATTTACATGATCATGGTTGAAACTCGTAACCTTTTTCTATTCAAAGATGCCTTGGTGCCACTAGGCAATAATAGATTTTTATTTAACGTGTAGAAAGAAGTTAACAAATGCGAGCATGTTCTTGTTAATTTAACATATAGTTCTTATTTTAATTTTTGAATTTTTGATAAACCTCCACCTCCTGACCAAAAGGTGGTGAACAATGAAAGGAAACCTAACTCTTATATTGAAATAATCTTGTTTTGTTTCCTATATAAACATTGTTATAAGTTGTTATTCAATAAAAAAGCAAAAACCAGGCAAGATATAAGGAAATAAGCCTTTCATAATCAAAATCTAGCTGCAGTTTATGTTCTTTCCCTCTTTTCACACTCTTTTCATCTTAAAAATTAAGCAACCATATATTCTCATAACAGAAATGGAATACCTAAATATATTTATTACATGTCAATTCAGGAATTAACAGTACAAGCAAAAACATCTGTAATGAACTTTTAGATTTCCATTTCTAAGTGCACAATGCACATGTTGTGTGTTCCAGAGCCTACAAAGCCTATAAAACTATGAAAAGCATGGACATATATTGTACGTATCATGTGGAAGAAATTCAGGCAAAATTTTCCTAGATTGTTTGCTATCAAGTTCTCCAATAAAAACATATTATGTGGACGATTTTTTTTTTTTTTATAGGATCAACTATGTACCTCAAGAAGTAAAACTAAAACATATACACATGTTGTGTTTCTATTGAAAAATCTTGTGTTGCAAACATTTAAATAGTCGCATCAAAGCTCTGACCTTTGATCCCAATCCAGTTTTTCTGGAAATCTTGTGCTAAATTCACTTTTGTTTTCTACATCAGCTGAGTTTCCCTGATGACTAGAGAAACATCTCTGGGAAAGACCACATTATGAACTTGGAAAAAGTGTCAGACTCCAAAAACTCAATGTGAGCAGCGCGTCCAATGAGCGTGCTCAAGCTCCGGCCATAAGAGGCGGTGTTGAAGTTAACGTCACAGCGCATGACCACACGATGATCAGACAGAGCTCGGAGCTGGTCCAAGCAATTATTCAACATCTCCAGGAAGATTTTCCCTTTTTTAGAGGAATCCAAAAAAGCTGCCGAACACTGTTCAATTCTGGCAGAGTGGTATGGAACATAACCATCCTGACATGAAATGAGAAGGAAGTGTTACAAAATTTCCAGTATAGCATAAAAAATGAAAGGAAAAATTCGCTGGACTTTTATTATACTGCTCTATTGTTAACGTATAATTATAATAATCATTATAAGATATGCTCAGAACCAGCCTGATAATTCTAACAAAAACCAGTTTCTAGGGTTACCGATAGTGAACTCTAAAACTAGATCAGCTATTTTTTGGAAAAAAATCACTTTTTGTGAAATTTCATAATGTTTGTTGAAGATTTTGAAAATAATCAAAATATATATTAAAAAAATCATATTTTTTATTATTTTGAGCAGCTTCTGAAAAAAACAATAAATATATTATGATTGTAACCAAGCACAAAATAATTTCTGCTTTTTATAAAATCTATATACAATAAATCAATTTCAATAAAATCTCTAAACTATAAAAAATAAAAAAAAATCATTTACTTTTTAAGTTTAAACAAACAGGCCCTAAATATATATCCTAGAATGAAAGTTTTCCTGCCTTGTAAATTTATTTGAAAGTAGTAGATTCTCTCCAGATTTCAATTTTCTACTATCATTTCAATCATTAAGAAATGATCTAGTATACACCTTAGCCCTGGATACTGAGATTTAATGAAAAGAAAATTCTTTTCTGTTAATGCTCATCAGAATACAGGCATGGCATTTTCAATTAAAGGAGGCTACCTGAGGTGATGATAACAGTATCACATTCCTGAAGTTTTCCAGCGTCTTCCTCTGCAATACAAATATTTGTTTTTTATCAGCAGACGAAGAGTAAAGACTGACAATAAAGCACTTATTCATAGAAAAAACTTATGTGCAGTTCTTCAAAAATCTGTTATCAGGTTTTTCAATAAGAAGAAGTTAGAACTTAAAATTTATATTTTAGATCTTTTAACTTTAGTTACATGTGCAGTATTATCTTAGCATGCAAGATTCTTTACTATTTCGGTTATAATAAATGCCAGCGTATATTTTACTCATTGTAACAAAATTGCATTATATATATATATATATGAGTACAATGACGTTGTGCAATCTATATAGCCAACCCCACCTAATAGGATAAAGCTTGTTATTGTTGTATTATATATATATATATATATATGAAAATCATATATAGGCTCTCACACATTGTGAACCTGATTCCAAATCTATACCTTATATTTCTCAGTTTGGCTAATGATAACATGCAGACATTTTTCACAACTCAGTAGCATGCCATTGATTCCTTTAACTGGAAAACAGAGAACGTTTCACATGTGACAATTTTGTTGAAGATCCAAACAGCAACAATAAGCTTTGTCCTATTAGGTGGGGTTGGTGAGACCATTATGCTCTAACAACCAAGCCTTTGGGAATAAACCCTTGTAGACTTTGGAAAAACTATTCCATCCAGAATTGCGAGAGATCTAGAGAGACCTAGATGTTAAATAATATATATTCTATACCTTGGAAAGATTGTAGATGAAGGTGTTTTCAAGATCAGGGTCATCTGTAAAAGTCAGCTGATGGATGCATTGTGTTCCATTAAGGGTCTTCAAAAGCCAAAGTCCTGAGTTAAATATAGAGTTTGAACTGTACATATAACCTAAGTGTGGACCAGACATTGAAACATATGTATACAAGTATCTTAGATATGGCTCCATGACTTTCTCTGCATTGGGGAAAAAAACGTACATTAATTCTGCTAGATTTTGATGAGTGTGCAATCCTTCAGAGATTTAAGCATGAGTACCTGCCAAAGCAGTCCGGATAATAAGATTTCCAATAGAATGACCAACAAAGCTAAGCTTGATTTCTTTTGGGTTTCCATTTTTTGAAGATTTAATGATCTTCTTTTCAAGAAAAGTGATCACTTCCTGCGCGAGCCGTGATCCCATTTCTCTGAAGTCTCCAGATGTTTTGTCTTCATTACTTGCTGACATAAGAAACTGCACATGGGGGTCTATTAAAAGCCACTGATTCCGAACAAGCCGTAAATCCAAATGATGTCCCTGTAAATGTTTGAATGATGACAATTGAAACCCTAGACTAGGTAAGAATATATATTTTAAGAAAAATTAATCATTTAATTCCTGTAGATTTGACTCAGTTATAACTCAATTCCTGAACTTTGACTTATTGTAACTTAGTCCTTATAGTTTAACTCAATTGTAACTTAATCCTTAAACTTTGCCTCTTGCAATTTAGTCCTTATAGTTTCAACCACTTAAATATTGGTCCCTAAAGTTTAAAAAATAAATTTATAAAGATTAAAAATATTTTAAAATTTAAATATTTATAATATTTATAAAGATTAAAAAGGTTTAGCAATTTAAAATATTAGCAATGAGTTTTAACATAATTTTAAAATTTAAAATTTTATTTTTAAAGATATAGGAATCAATATTTAAGTTATTAAAACTATAAGGATTGAGTTACAAGAGTTAAAGTTTATAATTGAGTTATAACCGAGTTAAAACTTCAAGAATTGAGTTATAACAAATCAAAATTCAGGAACTAAATTACAACTAAATTAAAATTATAAGAATCAAATGATTGATTTTTCCTAAAAATATAGGTCTTGCAATGAGTAACAAAACACGCTTTGATGCAATCTATGTAAAAACTAAAAAATATGGCATGACGTGTTAGGATCTTTTATAATAAATGAGAAAGTATGAACATAATTTTTAATTTCCCATTTTCAATTTTATTCAACATCGTAGATTACAGGTTAAGTTTTCATAGAAATAACACAAACAATTCTTGCCTGAAAGAAAAAATTACTAAGTGACAAATAACAAGGGAAGAAAATACAGTATAAAACAGATCTAGGTGATAAAGATAAATGCAAAAAGATGGAACATACCTGAAACCCATGCACAAAAACAACTACTCTCAAAACATGCTCTTTTTTCTGAGCGCTACTTGCAGAAAATTTGATTGCGGCTCTAGATACATTTTCCATTGGATATTTTGCTTTCTCCGCAAAAGGATTGAAGTATGAATTCACACTGGTTGAACGCATAATGTTTGTCACGCGTTCAACAATAACAATAGGAGAGCACAAAGGATCCCCAAATATATGCATGTCTTGAAGTGAGCGGTTGTTGATCTGCATGGAATTCACTTTGTCACCAAGTCAATTGAGCAAAGAAAAGCTACAAAGCACCCCAGGAAAAAGCAGTTGCTCACCCTCATGTGAGAGATACTTCGCCTATGAAGTTCAGCACGCATTGAAGCAGTCTGAACAGGCTGAACAGGGAGGAAAACAAAGATAACATGTTTTTAGAGAGTATAGCAGCCAAGCAGATGCATAAACCAACAATATAGTAATGAACTCAAGATTAGAGGATAATAAATTTTATGAAACTTAAATAATGTATGTTAAATCTTTACATCATCTCTTGACCTCCTCAAACTTAACGATCTTCCAAGAAAGCTACCACGCAATGATGTCCTATCAGCTCTATTACTCAAATAGCGATGAGGCATCTCGACCCTTGAGTACACCATCCAAATTGACCATTCAGCTCTTCGGTCATTGGCCCATGAATTACGGAGAAATTCCATTATATTCATTTTGTTTTCCCTGGGTGAAGAGATGTAATAAAATTAGGAAAAGCTCATACCACTAATTTTATGCAGTGCAATGATCTAACATTCGAATGCTCTACACGAGTGCATCTTGGCTCAAAGCAAAAATGTCTTCATGTTGTTAATAGCTGCTCACAAGAAGCAGCAGCTTCATTCAGAACATGCTAAACTTCACTTAGTCAGTAGGCCAGATTAAGTGTGACTAATTAACTTGCAGAAAAAAAAAAGCCATCATGATCAAAAAAACTGAAAGAATAGTTATCCAAGATGCAATAAGGATCAGAGTGAATAAATGAAGTACCAATACTTCATGGGGAAAAGAAGACTATAATAAAGCAACTCTACAGTTTTCAAACTTGGATAATTGTTAGATGTGTAATTAATTCAATAATAAATCTGAACATACCTATGGAATATCAGAAATTGATTCCACAGATATAAGAGTTGATTCCCCAGAGGCCGGAAAGATTTTGACAGATATTCCACAGATACAGGTGGGGAATCTCCCTCAATCTGCAATTAAAATAACCAAAGCTTTCAGATGAATAAAAGATGAAAGTGTCATGTAATCAATGTCTAGATCATCAAGAATACAGAACAGTACAAAAAGCATCAAAATTGCCAGATGTAAGGACCCCAGCACCACCTTGGTACCTGTTACCGCTTGTCTGGTTGGAGGGAAGGAGAGGGGAGAGGAATGAAATTTTCCCTCCCCTTGTTTGAATAGGACAAAGTCAGGGGAGTGGCTCCCCTCATCCCCCCCCCAATCACCCCTCTCATTCTCCCCCTCCCTTCACCCCCCCTTCTCCTCCAACCAAACATAGTGTTAGAGAGTTGTTGTGACACTTACCCCATCTTTAATTTCCATATCTGCAGGAGCAGAACCAAATGAATCCATTTTGGAAGTAATTTCAGTCCAATCAATAGCTTGGTCAATTCCCTTGCTTAATCTTCTTAGATCTTCAAGCAGGATATCTCGAGCAGCAATCAATGCTTTGATGAGCATAACCTGATTCAAGGTTTGACCACTAATATAAATCCAGAAGAGATTTAGCCAGTAATAAATATGAATTTCATTAAAAACATCTTTGTAAAATTAGAAATATTGCTATGAAGAAGAAAAGACAGAGACGAAGCATGATATAGCTAGCAAAGTGAAATCATGATAAATGAAAGCGACTGTAAGAAAAGTTTAAATGTGACTATAAATAAAAATTCAAATATGCATAAGAATAAAACGTCAGTTATATAAGATTTACAGCAATAGAACGTACTTTATTTGACACAGTAGAATCTTCACTGTGAGTGCCTTCTGAAGCCAGGGAATCACTAATATAATTCAACTTAGTATATCAATTAAAACTGCATCATATATGAGACAAATGAAAGAAAAACACTATAAATTATGAAGATGCAACAGTAACCAGGTATCTATCTTTTTTCAAACTTTAAAAAATGGAATTTGACAAACCTGGGTATCATCAGTCGGGGTGTGCGAAAACCAGCTCTTAGTAGACTGATGTGCACACTAGTATCAACAAGGACAGTATGTACAGCATCAAAATGAACAGGGCAATATGAATGTAATCCCAAAAGAGCTTTAGGGGGTATTCTGTATTCATGAACTGCAGCAGTGCATTGATCTAGGGAAGCATGTAAATCAGGCCTACAAAATGATTCCAGCAGTTTCACATTTTGCTCCCTCAAATTTACATTAATCGTAAAGAAATTTAAATCCTTACAAATTCACCCAAAGAGAGAAAAGGCACCATGAACTGACCTAATTTTTGACACGGGGGAGTACATAAGCTCAAACCTCAGGATAACAGCAGTAGAACATTGCCCCTATGAATGAATTTTGTGAATCATTAGTCCAGAGATAAGCTAGAGGGAGGAATTGGCCAAAAAGAAAAAAGGGGAAAAAGAAGCTACACTCTGCACAGCAAGAAGCCAGCAAGTAACTATAGTTATAACCACCAGGGACATTTGATCTAAAGGTAAGGTTTCAGTTTTACAAGGATTTACCACATTTTATTGCGTCAGTCATGAACTAATTAAATACAGAAATATAGGAGAAAATTTAACAGATCTTACGTAAATTGTGAAAAGTTTGTGTCAGATAACATAAACCAGGGCATAACCTTGAAGTCTTCAAAAATTTCATGAGATCGGGGAGCATAATTACATCCACCTTTGTATATTCATACTCAATAAAGCTTGTTTGCTGCCTAAAATTCATGTATGATTGATCCTTGTCAAGTTCCTTTTACCTACAAGTTTTATCATGATGTTGACGCTGGAGAAACTTTCCACTTCATTCAAGAATCCTAGTAAATATGTAGGATGATTTTTCAAAATAATTTGCAATTTCAGTCATACTTAAGCTACAAGAGATTTTGCAGCCTCAAATTCATCAGTTTGGTAAATTCTTACCACTTTCTTTTACATTTACCATTTTGGATTGTTTAACAAATCACCTCATCAATATACTTACACACGCCATAGGTTATATCAGATTATCTAGAAATGGAGAGGACTAACCTCATATCCACCAAAAGATAGGTAGAACGAAACCATGATAGAAAGAAACACATCCTGCCTTGCATATTTGATACGGAAAGGAGGTGTTGAAAAACTGTTGTCTGCATCATCAATCCTCCAAACTCTGCATAAATTATCAGAACCTACTTCAGGAGCTGCAGCACAAAGAAAAGAGAGATAATCGAATGTTACTTCCCCTAAACAACAAAAATAATGCAAGACCAAAAATTAACTGAAAGACCATGGTGCTTGCTAAGCATATCAAACAAGTTACAGTCAGAGTCTCAAGAAAAACAAAATGGTTGACGTTTAACACCAATAAATGTGGGTTGAACCATAGGAGGAACTTCATATGAATTTTTGTGGTGAATGGTAAATGGCATTGGAAAACCTCTTTTAAATGAAAGAATAGGCATACAGACTATTTTGGCAAAAGAGAAATTTAAAAGCTTTACCTGCCCGCATGGTGCAAATTTATGTATCACAAGACAAGCAAGTCTACTTAAAACCAAAAAGTAGAACTCGTGCATTGTTTCTTTATTTACCTTTTTCACAACCAGGAGTTTATTAATAACAGTATTTAAACAGGCCTTCTCTGATCCTTACCTTCTCTGGGAATAAAAAATATATACGCCCTTTTAGGGAGAGGGGGATGGGTAGTGGTTTAAAGAAATCTCCACTTACAGAATTATGATCAATTTAGAAGCTTAATCTACATTGCAATAAGATATTGTTGTTCTACTCACAATGACAACTATCTCATGTATTATATTTGGGTTAGAGTAATGGCATAGCCAAAATTTGCAAAAAACTCTTTAGAAAGCAGCAGCACTTTAGAAATGAAATGGAGACGTGTGGCTTTCCTAAATAAACTGTAGATTGTTGGTTTGAATTCCTAAACAAAATTGACATATTATTGCAAAATCTACATTAAACTACTAGAATAGCTAGCTTAGCTGGCTACAGTAAGTGAATCAACCGTGATACTTCCATAAATTTAAAAGGAGAAATCTTATATAGGCTTCAGGTTCTCTAATAAGAACAAGAGAATAGGTTTCACAACTTGATACCACATGATGGATTTTTCTGAAGAAAAATGGGAGAATATCATTGAAGGACCCTTAAAAGAATTTAATATCTAGGAAGGACTTCTAATAAGTAAATATTAATAATCAACAAGTGAAGTTCAAGTTTTAACAAGTATCCAATTTCGCTCAAGTCCTTATCAAATATTAAATTCTTTCAAGAGTCCGTCTTTAATATTCTCCCAAGAAAAATTCCCTCACATCATATTTTTATGTAAGAACTTGAAAGCAAATAACTGTACGAGTGTACAATGTTCTTGAAATAAATTCTACCTTCATATTGAACGACCCTTGCTGGAATGCCTGAATATGTGTTTGCATCATTCTCCCATCTCATGGTGATCTTGATTTTGTACCATCTGCATTGCGAGTATAAGCATTGGAGAATAAATGTACATGAGACTCACAGGAAATATCAAAGTTTAAATGTACATGAGACTCACAGGAAATATCAAAGTTTGCAAGAAAGTCGAACTTACCCCTTATCAAAAAGGTCAAGATTATGAAATCTATGAACATAAATGGCAACTTCATGGACAGCATCCATTTGCAGATGCTTCTCCATTGACATTGTAGCTGCCGGGTCTGGTTGCTCCGCATTGAGCAACCTCTTCGTTGACAAACTCCTTTGACTCAAAAGCCATCCTAATCTCCTAAACATGTGTGGTTATAGTCGATTTAGTAATGCTCAAAGCCCAAATTATCATCCCCTTATTCTTTCAATGGCTAGTTCAGTATAACCCACAAGTCCTGAACCATAAAGGACCCGACTTTATCGCCTTTTTTTTCAAAGCAAACCAAAACCATTAAAGATTTCTCACTCTTTAGTCACACGATTGGGATTGACCCTCAGCTTTTAGAAGGAAATGCTCAAATGATCATCCCTCTTTCTTTCCATGTTAATTGAGCATAATCCCACAAGTCATGAACCATAAAGGAACCAACTTTCTCAGTTTCTCCCCCACCTCTTCTTTTCCAGAGCAAACCAAACCCATCAATGATATCTCTCGCCCTGCACACGCATAGTTGAGATTGACCCTCAAATTTCAATTTGAAATTTGAAATGTGGGTCCGGGTTGAAGCGATTGATGATATGTTGGAGGAGGAGAATGTGGAAACAGGGAAGGTCGTGGGATAAGAAGAACGCGTGGAAAAAAGGCCTCTTGAGCGTTCTGGGCGACAATAATAATGATTCATATACCTGGTTGGCATACGGGAGGAGCCAATCATTCTCGTCAAACCGATCGAAGGTCATGCTATTAATGATGTTTTCTTTTTTCCTTTAATTCCCCAAAAAAATATAAGAAAAAAATGGATCTTTGAAAATTGCACCGTTAAGAATGTCGTGTTTGGGAAGATCCATGCCGCCATATCAGGCAGCCTAGGGATATTTTTGACTTGGTAGAATCGAAAATCACGGATTCACGGGTGTACTCCTAAAGGTCCGGTTTCGCCCGATCATTGCTAGATAGAACCATTGACTGTATAGTGTTCGCGTTGGACATTCAATATATACATATACACACGCATATACATATTATACAAAAGATCATACAAACCAAAAGAAATTACATCTAAGAGGGTTCTCTAATCCATCACTTTTATCATTTACTGCCTCTTAGAAAAGAGGTGGGCTAGCTGAACTGGATCTTACTAGTTCCTTCTTACATACTTGAAAACAATTATAAATAAGGATATCGCAAGTAATTAATCATATCATAAAATTATGAAATTATATTTTAGAACCATGATCCATTTTTTTAATTAATAATACTTTGATTAAAATGTTTCTGGTAACTAGGTTTGTAAATCTAGGAACAAAAATTTTTGGTAGTGGAGAGAGTTGAATTAGTTTAGGGTTAATAGGCAAAATAAATTCTAAAGTATTACATTAAAACCACATTAAATTTTGAGCTCTTAAAATGTCCAAAATAAACCTATAAATTTTTAAATTCATAGCAAATCAAACCCTACCCTTAGCTTTTTCTCAACGTCGTTATTATTCACCATAGGTCCTAGTCAAATGCTGATGTGGCAGTCACTTATTAATGTGTCATTTGTTAATTAGCACTATGGACCTTAAACTATAACACGAATAGCGTCCTAGATTCTAAACTTTGAAATTTTAAGCAAATTAGCCCCATCATTTATGTATAGAACATTAACTATTATGTAAACCAAATTAGCCTCAGCATAATCCACGATAATGAACATATCATTTGTCATGATAAATGACCCATAATTTTATAAAATGATGTTTTTTACCTCTGTTTTGCAATGTTTTCTAAAATTTGGTATCTCATGCTTCTGTATATTCTATGATTCTAATTTAGTTTTATTTTCAATAGGGTTAATAAGCAAAATAGACCTTGAACTCTTAAAATGTGCAAAATTGACCCTAAATTTTTAACTTCATGGCAAATTAAACCTTATCATTAACTTTTTTTTAATGTTGTTACTGTTTATTCGCTAATTAATACTATAGATTCTAAACTATTACGTGAGTAGTGTCCTGGACCCTAAACTTTAAAATTTCGAGCAAATTACCCTCACCATTTATGCATAGAACATTAACTATTATGTAGACTAAATTAGCCTTAACGTGATCCATCATGGTGAATGCATCGTTAGCCATGGTGAACGACCTATAATTTTGTGAAATAACATTTTTGCCCCCTTTTTTTGCAATGTTTTTTAAATGATTGGTATCCCATGCTTCCGTATACTCTATAACTCTAATTTAGTCTTATTTTGAATAATGTTTGTTTATTTAATAGTTAAAACTTGGGATCTCACTGTAAAAGAAGTTTAACTATTAGATAATATTAATTAATCGATTAATTTGAATTTTAAATTTATTGACGAAATCGTCAGCTTTCACATCCGTGATCTACAAAATCCTCTAATAGTTCAACATTTTTTAAGTAGGATCTCAAGTTTTCACCATTAAATAAAGATTAATCAAAATAAGACTAAATCAAAGTTACAAAGTATATGAAAACATGAAATACTAATCACTTGGAAAACATTGCAAAAAAAGGGGGGGAAATGTCATTTCACAAAATTATGGATTATTTGCCACGGCCAATGATGCATTCACCGCTGCAAGCCATGCTAAGGTTAATTTGATTTATATAATAGTTAACATTCTATATAAAAACAGTAGGAGTAATTTGCTTGAAATTTCAAAATTTAGGTGTTAGGACGCTACTCACGTAACAGTTTAGGGTCTGCAATGAACAGTAATGATATTAAAAAAAAGTTAACGATAGGATTTAATTTGCTATAAATTTAAAAGTTTAGAGTTGATTTTACAAATTTTAAGAATTCAAGGTTTTAAGGTGCTTTTCATGTAATAATTCAAATTCATTTGCTCATTAACTCTATTGAATAATGTTTATTTATTTAATGATAAAAATTTAGAATTCCATTTGAAAAGAAATTTAAGTATCATAGGATTTTACAGACAATAGATGTGAACGCCAATGACTTCATCAACGAATTTAAAACCCAAAGTAACTGTTAATTAAAATCATATAATATTTAAACTTATTTTCCAATGGGGTTCCCAAGTTTTCAATATTAAATAAATAAACATTATTTAAAATAAGGTTAAATTAGAGTTATAGAGTATACGAAAGCATGAGATATTAATCATTTGAAAAAACATTGCAAAAAAAAGGCAAAAAATATCATTTCACAAAATTATAGGTTGTTTGCTCCAACCAATGATGCATTTATCACAGCGAACCATATTAAAGCTAATTTGGTCTATATAATAGTCAATATTCTATACATAAATGATGGACGTAATTTGCTTGAAATTTCAAAATTTAAGATCTAGGACGCTACTCGCGTAATAGTTAAAAGTTTGTGGTGCTAATTAACAAATGACACGTTAATAAGGAAATGCCACGTCAGCATTTGACTAGGAGCCATGGTAAACAATAATGGCGTTAACAAAAAGGTAATGGTAAGGTTTAATTTGCTACAAATTTAAAAGTTTATGATTCATTTTGCACATTTTAAGAGTTCAGGATTTAGAATACTTTTTGCACAATATTTTAGGATCCATTTTTCTTGTTAACCCATTAGTTTATCCTATAGCCTTGAGTTTAAGTTCTAGGATAAGCAATCACATTAAATTAATATGTTAAAGACATCCTTGAGATACTTGAAAGATCGTTGTTAGTAATAACAACTCCACGTAGCAGGACTTTAAATTAGTTTAGCTAGAAAGTGGTAATGCCCTTTCCCAGATATTGAGCAGACGAAATCAAAAAAAAAAAAAAAAGGTGATTGCATACCCCCTTCAACTAAATTCTCAACTTAATTAAAATAATTTCAGTATCATCGAAATTTAAGTTGATGTAAAAATGTTTCTAATTCAAATAGAATTATTTCATAACCCTTTTCAGTTAAATCTCGAACTCATTAAAATTCAATACTAACAAATGTTAAGTTAGTCAACGGCAAGTGTGGTGACTCATTTTACAAGTATGGGGAAATTTTCCAACCAAAAGGCATAACCTCTTCAATTAAATTTCCCATCTAATTAAAGTAATTTTAACACTAGTAAATTTTATGTTGGTCAATTACAATTTGAGAATATAAACATTTTCAACTCAAATAAAATTATTTCACAACCCTTCTTAACTAAGTTTCCAATTTAATTAAAGTAATTTCAACATTAATAAGTTTTAAGTTGGCATTTAGACAGGAATATTTCAGTCAAAATATTATTTTTAAAACTTAAAAAAAAGGAACATGTTCCTAAAATTTAATTTCATAATTTTTTTATCCTGATTGGTTATTTACAATGTTCAAAATTCCTTATTTATAATTTTTCCTTTACTCTATCAGCACCATATTTCGGACGAACGCATTCAATTTATTTTTATTCATTCATTTTTTTACACATTTTATTTAATTATTTTTCATTCTTTAGGCAATAATGAAATGCATAGAGTTATTTTTTAATAATTCATAAATAGTTAGGTAATCACAAATACATAGAATTTTTATAAGGAAAGTTATGAATAAGTAACATGCAGTAAATTTATTTAAAAATAGTTTCACAAAATTTAGAAACTATCATCAAGTCCCTTAAAATTTGGGAGCTATTTTTTATTGGGATACAAAGGCAATAATATCCTATCAATTTGGCCAGTAATTTCATAATTTAAAAGTAAAAATTTATAATTCACAAATTCAATTTCTTGTTTAACGCTTGATATAATTTGGAGTCTTTATGAAGTTAATTATGTCTACTTAAAATTATAATTGGTCTAATTGAGATGTAAATTTTGTAATTCACTTTGTAATCATAACTTTAAAAAGGTATAATTAACTCTATGGAATCCCTTGTTATAATAAACATTAAACAAGAAATTTAACTCGTAAATTATAAATTACCTAAACATTGTAAAGTTGCAATTGCATCTGAAAATCAAATTAATAAGGTAATATTGTCTTTACACTTAATTTAAAATTACATTCTAGTTCTAAAAAAATTAGCTATATGGTTTCTAAAATTCGCAAAACTTATTTATAAATAAGTTTGTTGCACGGAACGTATGTGAAATTTTCTTATTTTTATGGTATACTTAGGTCAAGTTTTATTATACTGACTTGTTTGGTATTCTTTTAAGCCTCAACATCTAGTATATCTTTCTTCGGTTATTAATATTTGAGAAGTATGGTGTGATATAGAATACTAACAACACGATGTCTCCTAATTTCATGAGATGGTATTACAAATGACTATAATTCAAAGAGATTTTAAGCTATTAATAAAAATGTAATAAAGAGATATTTCTTAGAGGTGGATAGAACACTCATTCAACGAGTGTTTCAATTATTTTATTAAATTTTATTAATACTTAAAAAATTTAAAATAATTATCATAATTAGAACACTTTTTATATATAATGTCTTTTTAAAAATTTAAAATTTAATACTTTTTGAATATTATTTGACAAAGTTTATTATAATTTTTTAATTAAATTAAAAGAATATTATTATATTATGTGAAATATTTATTGAGTGACTGTAGCGGATCTAAATCCATTTCGGATCAGATTGACGGTGATGAAATTGTGCCCAATGATCCACCGAGTCACTCTTCGCTCGTTGCATCTGGAATCTCACAGGCAATGATTGTAACTTCACGTAGCTTCTGAATCTTTAAACAGGAAAGATCTCAACACTGCCTGGACAAGAGTCTGGAAAAGCCCTATGGTCTAAAGAGTCAAAACTTTCAGAAAAAATTATGTTAAAATCCTACATAAAAAAATTAATTCTTAAAAAATTTACTAACAAGTGAATGAAATTGTATTGACAATTCAATCAGTTATTAATATAATTAATATTTTTATATAAGACTTAGTTGTAATTCTTTCAAATTTTGATGGGGTTTGCTTTTCAAAGGAAAACTCATGACCAATGCTGAAAGGACTCGCAGGAAATTCAGCCAAGATCCACAATGTCGAGCTCCTGAAGAAAATATTAGCCATGCCATCATGATTCGTGTGTCGACTTTTATGGTAAGGAAATCGATACTCTAACCGTGCTTTACGCTCTTTCTATGTCTTTAAAGATTTGATGTAATTTTTGCTTTCCTTTGTTTCTTTCGTACTATGAGTTAATGTTTTTTTTTTAATGTATATCAAGGTGTCCTTCAACTGATAGTCTAGAATCGATCTTTGATCACAGAAGTAGGTCTTGTCTCTTCAAGCAAGATGCTTTTCATATACATCACTAAGGATAGAGCTCTTTGACATTATGCTCCAGAGATCTCATTATTTGCCCTTCTATATTGAAATAATCATTACTAAGGATTAGTGTATTACCCTCATTATTTCATTAGTTAAATAAATATTCTTCACCCTCTCTTATTAATAAAGAGTCTTTTTGAAAGTTTAAAATCATATAATATTTAATGAATTTTATTGATATATATAATTTTATCAAAAAATATCTTATAAATTAGGACAGAAATGTATATATATTGATTGATTAATTGATCATTGATTTTTGATAAAACTAACTTTGCTGCTATTGGTATCAGGATGAGTTTGATAATTTTTAGTAGGATTTTATTGACAAAAGTCAAGTCTATTTTAACTTTCATGACAGAAGCACTAGCCTTTGATGCTTGGGTACTCACTTTGGCCATAAGAAGATTTGTTTTGAAATTGATTGTAAATTTTTGGTGAATTGCATTATTTTCAATCAACTTAATCTGCATGATTAGAAATGTAGAGGCATAACATAGGAGTGTATCGAGGTTTTGGCATCTAAAGTTGGGCTTTCCCTTTTATTTACCCCTCAGCAGGGTTAATCAAGTAGCTGATCTTCTTGCAATTGGTGCTGGTAAGGAAGCGACCCCATTGAGGTAGGTGCATGAAGTATCACTTTCTTTGTCTTTTATTACACCTTTTATGCATAGGAAGCCTTCAATTCCCATTATGCTTCTTCAGCTTTAGACAACAACATTGGCGCTGATTGATTGTGTCTAATTTAGTTAGTTTTTATTCCTGTTTTGTTATAGCTTCTGTTTTCTTTCTGGACTAGTCTGTTGTTCTTTGTTTGAGTAATGAGATATCTTTGATAAAAAAAATATATCATAATTTCATGTGTTAAGTTTTATTAATAGCTCAACTCTCGCAGTAGTCCATTAATCAACATGCAGAAGAAAAAGTCTCGTCACAATTTGATTAGGAAAGTGCAAGTTGATTTCATGGCAAGGCAAAAATTAAGGAATCTGCGGGCGGTGGGGGACAATAATAATTACTTAATGAGTAGTTCAATATTAATTGAGAAAAGTTAGAACCGAAAAAATGACAATAAAATTTCTTTTGAATTACGTAAATGGCACTTTGATTTTTTAAAATGATATAATTTTTCTGAAATCCCTACAAACTTTTCCATCATTAAAAAATTAATGTAAAAGATCAAGTTACTTTTAATTGAAATAAAAATCTCAAACCTCAAATAGATACTTTGCACCATTGATTCACAAATTTTATTTTAAGATTCACAACTTTTCTTTCTAAAATCATAAGAATTCAACAATAATTTGCAAGTTCGTGTTTAAGATCTTAATATTCCTCAAATGTTGCAAATACCAATTGTCATTTACAAATTTTTTTTAATATTGACAACTTTTTTTTCCTAAAATTGCAAAAATTTAATAGCAATTCACAAGTTTGCAAGTGTATGTTACGAGGCTTGAGATTTTTTATTTCAATCAAGGACAATTTAATTTTTTTATATTAATTCTTTAATAACAGAAAAGTCTTTAAAGACTTAAAGAAAATTATAATATTTCAAGAGATCAAAATATTATTTAAATAATTTAAAAGAATTTTAATGTCATTTTTTATAAAATGAAAAACTGAATGAGAGATGTAAATCGAAGCTTGTATAATCTAAATCATAAAAACATTAAATTTATACACACTATGTCAGGTCCTATAATAAATCAATATTTTCAAACGTGTTTCATCATAATTTAAGAACATTTAAAACTAATTAATTTTTTACTAAGTTTTCAATTTTTTTTATTACACATACATACTTTAATAACATATTATTTTCTTTTACCAATGTTTAATGAGATAACAGGAAAACTTGAGATAAAAAAAATTGATGACATGTCAGAAAAGAATCCTTCTCCCTCTTGGCTTATTTATAGTGTCTTTCTAATTAGTACTTCGTCCATTTTAAATATAAAAGAAAGTATAATGTGTTTCTCTATTTTTTTTTTCCACAAGCAAAACTTTAAATTTTAAGAAGTATTTATCACATTTCTTAAATTATTTTTCATAGAATCAATGTTTATACATTTTCATTAAATAAATTTGTTTCATCAATTACATAAATAATTTAGTCCAAATTTTTTAATTCGAAATATAATTATTATATTTAATCAACTTTTTTAAACTATATAATTTATTCTATTTGAACGGATAGAATAATACAATACAGAATATACTTCCTCAAATTCTTATTACCCGATGCTTTTTTGGAAGGATTCTTTGATCATTAATAGTTAATATAAGGTAAATGAAGAGTTATTTATTACCATTTTTCAATTTTGTCTCTAGTGTAAATTTAATTATATAGCTCACCATACACATTATATATTTCTCATTATATATTTCTCTTCCTATCTTTAATAGGAAAAAAGTTAGAAAATTTTTTATTTTAAGATATTTAATGAATTTACTGTCACTCCTTAGTTACATAGTTACAATGAAGTAGTTGAAGCGCTTTATAACAAGTAGAGGATGGAACATACATAGATAATTGGGTGAGCTTCCCACAAATTCAAGCGGAATGATATGGAATATGGCGGCTAAAACACTATATATCCATTCTTCTTAATTAGTCCTTATTACAACTTTCAAGAGGCCTTTTTCCCTATAACCCAGCAGAATCAAAGATCTTCTACAAGAAGAGGATCTATGTAGACTACAGTATATACCTTCACAGCTTAAATCAAATTACTTTGCATTGTTTGGCTGATGCTATTTCCTCTATGCAAGATAAACCCCAACTGATCCTACCACACACACACACACACACATATGTATACCTAGAGCAAAGGTAATCTGAAAAACCTGAAACTACTTCCCCCCTTTTCATTCTTCTTTCCCTTGTTGTATCTAAAACTCTATCCTGCTCCTTTTGATTACTATACACAGATGCCCATAAAAACAACACATACCGTCACCATTGAACTGAATTCACCCTCCGATGCAGGCTTCGTCTCTTAGGGCTACGCTTCTCCTCAACTGGAATCAGGTACGCCATGAGCTGCCCAAGAATGTTCATGAAAACTAGGGTAAAACAGTGAACCCCATTGTAGAGAATCATATGCTACATATGAACAAGTTAAAAGTTTATACTACAACAAAATACGCTTGACATTATGATTTTTCCACGATTAGTTTGAGCTGTTTTAGAAAATTTTCACCATCAAAGTGCAGAGAGTAGATTCAAGATCATATAGACAATAGTTGATCATTGGCTGGATTTTGTAACCAGAAGCCTGGCTTGCAGCAACCAAGCTAGATGAAGCCAGACCATCGAAATAATCTCAAGATCATTTTATCCAGTCTTTTTATTCATGTAAGAAAAGGGTTCCAGACTAGAAAGAAAGAGGAGAGATATTCTACAAACCTGCCTGAACCTCTCATGTTTCTATCAGCCTGCATTCAAGATCCCAATAGTTTAGAAACTCTTGAGCAAAGTAAATTCTTGGGCACAACAGAAAAAGAAAAGAAATAACACGATGTGCTCATTAATTATCAGTTTATGATGCCTGAACTGTAGTTATCAGGCCAGTCATTTGACACAATGCAGTACTTCAAATCAAATGGTGACTGACACTTTGATCATCACCCACGCGTTATAAGGTTTTCTATACCCTCCAATTTAAATTTAAAATAAATAAATAAATGGTTGTAAGGAGTAAACGATTGACAAAGCTTAAATTCCAGGATACTACTATGTAAGAATACCTCTGCCTTTCGTAACTGCGCGTTCTCTTTCTCCAGTTGTGATACCATAGCCTCTAGCTCAGATGTGTAAGCCTGCCAGCCACATCAGGTTTATAAGAAAACACTTCCACAAAAAAACCGAAAGATCAAAGAGAAAACACAGCCAAAAGAACAACATACAAAATCCAATTTAATTGAGCTCTTCACTGGTCATGCAAATGAGCAAAACAAATTATATGAACTCAAGAAGAATTTTCAGTTTCAAAACCCAATACACCAGTTGCTGAACAGAAATATGCAACTTCTCAAACCACCATGTCAACCAAAATCAGACAGAAACAAGATTGTGATGAATTGTTTGTTTTGTTGAATCAAAATTTCAGAATTAAAGAACAACCTGCTTGCGTTCTCTGGACCTAGCAGCGGACTCTCTGTTTTTTATCATTCTTCTCTGTTTCTGAAGCAAGGCCCTGTCCATGATGGGTTCCTGTTGAACCCTCCTCTTTCCCCTTCTCGAAGATTCCATGGCTACTCCTGCGACAACCGACCCCTCGATTCCGTTTTCAAACGCCGGCACGGAGGGCGCTGGAAATCCACCACCACCACCACCAACGCCGTTGAAAGCCGTGGCGCCCGCCCAGTGGCTTCCACCGTCGGCACCCACCGCAACGGCGGGAACGCCTCCGACATCCTCCTCCCTGACAGCTCCAGCCTTAGACAAGAAATCCTCCAGAGTAATCTCCTCCTCTGGACCTTCCTCCCCTGAGCCCACCGGCATCTGATTACTCCCCTCCACGATCTCTTTCCACACCTCGTCCACCGTCCTGGCGGCCATTTCCCTCGGAAGCGAGAAGCTCTCCTGGCGGGGAATCAAACCGACGGCTTCGGATCGGGCATTTGCAGAAGAGTCGGGTTCGGGTTGGAAGGGAGGGTTGATGAGCTTGAGGAGATCGTCCATGCTCATGGAAGGAGAGATCTTGGAGAGATCAGCGAGAGTGGAAGAAAGAGAGCAGGAATATGAAGACTGATATGGCAGATCTGTATTGGCAGTGACAACCTTAGAGGACGCCATGGGCGAATTTGCAAGAGATTTCTGCGTTTCTGTGGAGAGATTCTGAGCTCTTGTTGCTTTTCAGTTCAGTCACCGTTGAGGCAGTGAACGGTGAACAACACTACAAGACAGTATGAAATGAACAAGGAAGGCACTGAAAGTGTGAACTTACTTGCATTTGGAATTTGGATATATACTTTCCCTGCTGCCAAATAGTATCTCCAAAATCCAAATTCCAGATTTTGAATTAATTGAACAAATAACAAAACTACAAAGTTCATTAATTAAAATGTTGTGTAACCACTAGATTTTAGCCACAAGCACGGTTTTGGTTGGATTATTTAGGGTTACATTAAATGCATTTATACCTTTATTTCTAAATTCTTGCAGGAACTAATGCTCCATGTCATATATATTTTATTTAATAAAAGAAAACATGATACATTAATTTAATTAAATAAAATTTATGTGTTATTAGTTTTAATAATTATATTTTTAGAATACAATGAATATTTAATTTCTTGTATTTTTTTTCTTATCATTATTAAAGCTGTTATCAATTTACATTTATAGCCCTTTAACATGATATGATGTAGTGTATCAAGTTTATATAAAAATTTCTCATAACTTACAAGTAAAATTTCTAAATTTATTAATTCTATTTAAAAATTTAATAAATTTTTAGTTGTGTCCTTATTAAATATTACTTTTGCTCGCTAACATTTAATGAGTGTAAAAAGATAAACTTATAAATAAAAAATAAAGTTATTAATTTAGGTTAAACTCGACGAGTCAGCTCCAATAAGCTCAAACTTAGGGTGTTAGGATCAGACTTGGCTAAATGAACTTTTTACATGTTAGAGCTATTTTAAACTCAATCTAAATTAGGCCAACTTATCTAAATTATCAACTCTAATAAAAAGTTAATAACTTACTTTATAAATAGAATTTTAAAAAAATCATTCTCTTTATCTTATAAATAGAACACGAGAAAATAAATAATAAAAATACAAATGTCATTAAATGTTACATGACAATGGTGCATTTATTTCTTGTCAACCTATCAAACCAATGAATGATTTATATAAATAAGACAATCAATGAAGTAATTGACTGAATTAAAAATAGACATGATTTTTTGAATTGCATGTTCATTAAAAACCAATAAAATTATATTTTGGTAAAAGTAGCTAATTTCATTTAAAAAAATTATTTATGATATAGCATCCCAAAAATTTAACCTAAGATTAATTAAGGTAATCAAGAGTAAAATTATAATTTGAGAGTTAAATTGATTATAATGTAATAATCGGATGACTATTGGGCCTATGAATAGGTTTAGACTTAAACGTAAAGGAGTATTGGGCCACATTAGGCCTAAGTTGATGGACTAAATTTGGCTTTGTGTGACTGTGTCACCCATTGTGGTGGATAGTCCATGCATCATATGGGTTAATACAAAATTTAATATAACATTTCCATGAAAATGAGTCTACAACAAAAGGGAAAAGAGTGAGAATGTGAGATGAGGTTGAGGGTCTATTAAGGTTTGTGAAACTTGTCCATTTAAGGTCATTTGAAGTTAGAATACTATTAGGTAAGTTTCTATACCTCTCCTCTCATGTTCCTATACAATTTTCTTGGGATTTTTAGAAGAGTTCATGTGGAGCCAAAAAATATTGATGATTCCACTCAGTGATTTTACTTAAGTGAGTTGTTAGATGTTCATTTAGATTTCTAATCATTGGGTTTGTAAGTTTATATTGATTTTGAGATTTTGCGAGGGCTTTGGAGTAAATCCTAAAGTGAAATGAGTGAATTGAAGACAATAGGAAAGTTTGATAATTATAATGATAATTAGACTAATGGAATCTATCTATACTAACGAGAGTCTAAATGGACTAATGGAAGTTAGAAAAATTAATGGTACAAGATGACCATAATGAGGATTGTTGGGGTAAGCCTTGATTAGAGAAAATTAATAATAATGAGTTATTAATGATCATGATGATTTTAAATTGTAGATTGATCCTCATTGGATTGATTGAGCAAGGCGGAGGCTCAATTATATGTCTGCTGGCACCCTTTTTCTATGCTTATGTGATATGTTTATAAGGATTGTGAAAATTATAATTAATATTTTTGTATGCAAAAGGAATGTTCGTAATTTAGAAATCTCATGTAAAATGAGGTTTTTATTGAAGTATGTATTGATATGTGATGTTTTATATTTAAATAGCATTGGAAACTCAAGCATGTGTTTAAATGATATTTTGAGCATTGAAAATAAATGATGATTTAGCATGATGGCATGATTGTTGAGAAATTGCTTCCTAGATGAGAGAAAATAGAAATCCACATGGAATTGCCAACATCTAGGTAGATCAGGTGTTAGATGCATGCCATGTATCACCATCTTCAATGGGAGAAAGGTATGGTGTCCAATACAAATATGTTGATATATCATCATCTCTTATATGGGACTGATGTGGAGTACAACAGAGCTATGTATTATGTATTCTCAGTAAACAAGAATTGGTATGGAGTCTGGCGTTATGACACCTTATTGGCTTGAGGATGGTGGAGTCATGGCTTGAAAGTGAGCGAGGTGGCTTTTGGCTAAGATGCCTCTTATGATTGTAGAGCTTGGGCTAAGGCAATCACATGTCTACCTAGCCTTGTTTATATTAATAGGCCATAAAATCAGACAGTATAACATTATAAAAATTAAACTCTTGTTAATCAAATTAATTAAGGATAATTAAGCGAGATTAGTATGGTGTGTGGACAAAGAGAACTAATGAGTGTTTTAGGTTGTATTTTCAGCCTAAATGTCAAAATGGAAGAAAAACTAGAGAAAGTGGCTATGTGCCACATGCCAGGGCGTGTGTACGAGATGCTGCAGTGCATGAGTCACAAAAATATGAAGGAATCCTCTCTATGCCACATGCTATAACACATTGATGAAATTTGACAAAAATAAGAGCGTGATTTACTTAAAAAATAAAGGGAGGCAAAGAGTTTTGAGAGAGAGAGAACAAAGGAGAATGCCAAGGGCTTTATTAACATCTAGAATTTTATATCATTCGAGCACATCTTCCTTAAATTTTTTTATATTTTTTGGCACTATTTACATATTTTTAATACTCAATTTAGAAAAATGTGTATATTATTTTGGAAATTCAAACCATGGCTCTAGTTTGGTATTTTAAGCTAATTTATTAATATTTTGGTTTAACATTTAGTTAGATACATTTTTGGACTCTTAATTATGCTTTTGGATGAAGAAATTAAATGCAAAGAGGATAAATTTTGTTAATTGAAAGAACAATGCAAAACAGAGTAAAGTTACAACTTTGTGTCACGATAGCAAAACGAAACATTTTATTTATCTGATAAAGTTAGGATTTTGGACTATATATGACCCATTCTTGATTTTAGTCGACATTCTAGACTTTTTGGAGTATTTTAGAGCTTTAGGTGTAGTTGGGCATAGATTTTGGTGGATTGAGCTTGGATTTGGAGATTGGAAGAGATCTTGGCTTCATATATTGGTTCTACTTCTCCATTCTCCTTTATTTTCTCTTGTTCAATGTTAGTGCTGATATATTTGTATTTTTTCATGACTTTTATGAACATTTGTAACTAAAACCTTTATTTAGGATTATTTTGAACCCTTTATATGGATTAGATACTCATTTTCCTTTGCATTTGTGATTAATGATATGATTATGTTGATTTTACTCTATGCTAACATTTCTAAGTGTTTGGCCATCATTTAAATGTTGGGTTCACTTAGTGATACTTAAGAGAGCTAGCTTGAGTGTACAACTTGGTAAAATTATATAAGAACTTGAAGTTTGCAAGTTGAATAGATGGTTTTGTTAATGAAATAAAGATATACTCATTAACCTCACATAGTCACATAAGATTTGCAAGCAAAATTGAAGTTTAATTAGTTAATTAAGATATTAAGATTAATTAAACTAAACACCTACTTAGATACTTAAGAAAGCATTTGTGAGTAATTTAGTATCTTTGACTAGCATAATTCATCATTAAGAGCAAAATATATTATGGGTTGATTGAGTATTCTTGAAGTATAAATGAGTATACATAATCCTAGGCCTAATTACTTCCAAAAAGTCTTGAATCATTGTCTTTTATTTATTTGTTAGCATTAATTTAGTTTTCCAAATCAACTTCACCTAATTATGTTTGGCTCAACTTGATTGAATTCTCTTAGTCTTTTGTTTGATTGTTGTTTCTAAATAAATCTCTGTGAGAATGATACTTTACTCCCATTATATTATTTGTTAGGACTTGTGCACATGTGGAGTGCAATAAGCTCTGATCGAGCTTGGAGATTCCAAGCTTAGAGAGCATCTTGGCATTTTTAATCACTTGAAGTAAGTTTCTCAAGCCCTAATATCCTTTCTCTTCTTCTTTTTATAGATTTAAAAGTTAAGGCTTGATGTTGGAGGTGATTTTTGAACCTTTGAGGCTATGGGTCTAAACCCATCAATCTAAATAGAGTTAATGAAAGTTGTTTAGGTTATTTAAATCCAACATTTATAATTATATGCATCCTTAAGCTTGGGCTCATAATGTGGATGAAAATGTGGATTAGAGAGTCTTCAATGTGTTTGTTGGAGACTGATAATAGCTTTTAATTGTCTAAAAGGGTTTAATAAGGTTAGAGTTATAGAGTGTAACATTTAAAAAAATTTAATCATGATTTATTAATCTAATGAATGTGATTAGTGAGTTAATGAAGTGTGTGGCTAGAAGAGCTTAATTAGTGTAATTAATTATGATTTCAGCCTTAGAAGTGGATTTGAATTAATGGTGGGCCACCTGAGCTTGGAAAGAGGAAGAAAAAGTAAAGGAATGCCCTTTGTGCCATATACCGTGGCATGTGGTCAATCCACCGCAGCACACAAGGCAGATTCAAAGGCAACAGGCCTCTCTGTACCATGCATCATAGTGAAAGGCAGTGTGCACTATAGTGCACGGCTAAAATTTGGTTAAATTTGTTCATGCTTTACGCGTGAAAATAGAGAGGAGGAGAAAAAGAAAATGAAGAACATGTTGAAGCTCTATTAGGGCATGCACATTGGGACCCTTAAAGGCAATTTTAAGCTTTTAACACTTGAGATAAGTGTGATAG